TCGAAGATGCTTCTTTTTCTCTGTGTTATCGGTTGTGTTATTGACAGGGAAGTAGTTTCATATCGCTTTCTCTTCATCCGCAATTATGAGTTGCTTTTTTTTTCTTTCTCCTAGATTGATTACCACCCGAAAATAGAAAACCCAGTCTACGCTTCTACTTAACTCATGATAGGACGTTTCCTGGGGTATTTTAATGCGAGGGTATTTTAATGCGAAAGTGAACGCAGCAGACAGAGATGGGATTTGAACTCTGATTGCCGATGACCACTTTCTACACCAGTAACTGTTACGCCACTCGGGTGTATCTACTAATCCAAATTTAGTTCTCTAATCGGCTAAATTGGGTGGGAAGCTTGCTTTACGGTAATCTTCCGGGGAGAGAGAGTTTGAAGACGAGAAAGATCGCAATCTGAAATTCAAGCTTTTTTTTTAATCTTTTTTTTTTCCAAGGTAAGAAGACCGATTCCTGTCAACGACGGGAAACAATTAACTAATTCACTCGCAACAAAAAAAAAAAGATATGAAAAGTGAGTGAATGGAAAGAAAGGGAGAAAGAAAGAATGAATATTTCATGAGAGAAAAATAAATCCCGAATTATCAGAAAACAAAGAACATGAAAGTAATAAAAAAAAAAAAAAAAACGAAAATCGGTCTCAACAGACAAAAGTGAGAAACTTAAGCTAACGTAAGTTATATAAATAAACAAGTAAAGATTGGCTCAAAAAAAAAGAAGAAAAATATCCCCAAACCTACCAAATGAAAATAAACCACGAGGCGCTGACGTTCTAACACGTACAAGCAGCTTATTTATTCAATGAGGTAATGTCTTACCTAAAACACTGAGTAATTCATTCGTGAACAGAATTAATAGTTAACAGGGAAAATATGGACATTAGATAATGGCATTCCACAAATACTCGAAGGAATATAAACATAAAATACATACCGTGTATTATATATATATATATATATATATGTGCGTGCGTATGTATGGATATATATATATGTATATATATATATATGTATATATATATATATATATATATATATATATATATATATATATATATATATATATATTTATATATATATATATATATATATATATATATATATATATATATATATATATATATATATATATATAAACGCGTCGGCAAAATCTAAGATTTTTTCCAATTGTCATTTTATACCAATCTGTCTTGTCCACAGAATTAACCTGGTAATTTAACTATATATATATATATATATATATATATATATATATATATATATATATATATATATATATATATATGGTACAGAAGGAACACATTTATCCTTTACGTAGTTTCTCTTGTTTTTTCTGTAAAAGGGAACGTGTTTATCGTTCAAGAATGGACAAAATTGGACATAATTTGAATCATGGGTTGTAGCGCTTTCGACCATTCTCTGGTCATCCTAAGAAACAAAGCCTGTAAAAAAATGTAATAAACTGAAAATTAAGGCCAATATATATATATATATATATATATATATATATATATATATATATATATATGTGTGTGTGTGTGTGTGTGTGTGTGTGTGTGTGTGTGTGTATATAGAAAATAGGAAATAGAAAGAACTTGTTAGGTAAATAATCCAAAGTTCTTTAGTATTTTTGTTATTATTTTTAAAAAATAGTGATCTATACAAAAACAGAGCGTAAATATGACCTCTTATGTAGCGTGTTGGAATCATATTTTTAAATAAATAATTACATATATATATATATGTGTGTGTGTGTGTTTATATATATGGTTGGTGCCACAGAACTTGTAAATACTTTTGAACAGACAAAAGTGCATTTTCCGTCTTAAAGTTAACCTTTTCGACAAAACACGTCATCAGAAGATTCGTTGACGACTTATTAAAATATTAACGAGATTTGCGAAGTTTATAAATAGCCGGTGTGTGGGAACGAGGAACTGCGACCAAAATATATTCTAATATTAAAATGGCAGGAAAAAATAAAAGCGGGGAAGAATAATGTCAAAGAGCAGATTAAATTGTTCCAAGAATATTAGAATTAAAATCAAGACTCACAAGGCTCTCAGTAAAGAAGGGGAACACACACACACACACACACACACACACACACACACATATATATATATATATATATATATATATATATATATATATATATATATATATATATATATATATATACAGAGTCATTGAAAAGTAACTCCCTGTCTCATGCATGATGGACTCTCTCAACTTACTAATAATTTTTACATAATGGGAGAATCCATATATATATATATATATATATATATATATATATATATATATATATGGATATGGATATAGAGAGAGAAAGAGAAAGAGAGAGAGAGAGAGAGAGAGAAAGCGTGAATATAGGAATGGACACTGCATTGTGACACTCATTTTCAAACTTGAATGTATTCTGGAATCGCATTGAAGACTAAAACTAACAGTCACCAGACAATATTATTTTTTTAATGACTACACTTCTATAACTATAAACGCTCTAACTCTGCTACTGAGCACTCTTCTTCCTATATTTTTTAATGATTTCATCCCAATCAACGCGATAAGGCCAATTACAAAAAGGTAACAAACGCTGTTGGAAATATACCGTATTTCTGAAATACGATACATTTAATAGGTTCAATTTAAAGTCACAAGCCCCACAAAAACCGGTAAAAAAAATAGAATGAACCGGTGATTTTTTTCATCGAGCTGTTAATTGACGAATCAACAATTAACAAAAAAGTGAGGGTTCCTGGTAAATAAAAATTTCTTCCTCCGAAATTCTTTAGCGAAAATCTTCACCGCGTAGGTTAAATCTCTGCACTACTAGAATAAGTGAATTTCTCTCACTCATTAGTTACAAAATTTACCTACTGGGAACAATAAAAGTAGCCAATAACACCTATATTCGTTGTGCTACTTACTACAAGAAAATATTTCTCATAGTGAAACGACAGTTGATTCGACTTTCAGTCATAAAGAGAGACAATGTGACTTTGGTGGTTTGGCCATATAGACAGCCTCGGAGTCTAACACAGTAACAAATTTTAGACGTCACACTAGTTCTTGCAACATATGATGTCGTGACAATGTTCCAAAGGTAGGATATGTGAAAGATGAAAGTAAAAGGTGAGAAAGGGAAAAGCAGGAGATATTGAAGCGGAAAGGTAGAGGGTCGGAAAGTTAAAAGAAGTAAAATAAAAATAAAAACTGGATTATAACCCGGTAGAAGTGATGTTGATTCCCTTGGATTGTGTGGGCCGTTGGCTTAAAAGTCTATGGAATCAGTTCACGAGAAGTCAAAATAGGGGTAAGAATAAAGACTAATTACTGTCCATTAAAAAAATGAACAAGCATCAAAATGCGTATATTTCCTTGATTATTTTAATTTTAGCGGCAAACATCTTGAATTGTCCTTGTTAAAGGTTATATTTCTCAATTATTAGAACATAATTCAAAATCGTCCACAGGAATAAATAATTTAAAATATTAAAAAACAAGTAGTAATTAGATAAGCGAAAACAAATCTTTAAAAAAATTGTCAACGATTTTTTTTTTTTTTTCACAATCGAAAATTCTACAGAATATTTTATTACAAATGTAATTAAAACTATTAAACACAAAAAATATTCTAGTTTTATTTAGTGAGTTGGGGTATAAATTTATGCAGCTTTAAATTACATTTTCAGTCGATTTGATTTCTCTGGGGACTTGTATTTAAATATAATTATTAAATGTTCAAAATCTATTTCAAATAATTAAAATTCGGTTAAATTTGGCTTTAAATTTTCCGAGAATTTTTGTTTACAGAATTCCATTTTCACAAAAAAAAAAAAGAATCCGTATAAGTTATGACTCTTATCTCGAGTGGCTGTCGGGCCTTTATAAATTGTGAACCCCACCGTAAAAAAAAAAATCAGTCAGAAATGAATAAATATCTAAAATATGCAGAGAGTGGCGTGGGCGATTATAATGCGTTTTTACCCGCAAAAAAATTAGCTACAAATATCTGGGATTTTCAATGTGAACGGTTCACTAAATCCAATCGAACTACGTCACTGGGTGGGAACGAACATCGATCAGAAAATGTTCAAAATCATGGTACTGTATCCTGCAAACAAATCGGATGGGAACATAGTGAAATTTCTTGTAGAGAACCAAAAAAACTCGTAAAATTCACTGAGACTTTACAATGTCAACGAGAAACCCACTCCAAGGCGACCTAGACTTCGTAAACAATGAGAAGAAAACATGTAAAGATATTGGTAGTAACAGTACCAAAAGATCGCTTTAATATTGAAGGTAAGTGAAACGATGTAACCAAAAAAACAAAACAAATAATATTGCTACTTGGCCGTGTCTTGTCTGAATGCAGATACCCGCTTCTTAAACATTTTCATGTCTATTCCATCTGCAGTTTTTCACTGTAAACGTAGTTTGTATTTGCCTTTCTGTTTTTCTTGTTTTCCTAAGAAAGAAAGAAAAAGAATGGAGGACAGAAAAGAAAAATAGACGATGAAATAGGAAACCTAGAAAGAAAGAAAAATAAGATAAGAAAAAAAGAACAGTAGAAACAAGAAGAAAAAAAAACAAAAGAAAGAAAGAGGAAGCAGAAAATCAAGAGAGGGAAAGGAAAAGAACGAAAGAAAGGGTAATAGAGAAGTCTAAGGAAAAGAGACAAAAGAAAGAATGAATGAAAGACAGAGAAAACAAGGAAAGCCAAGAAAATCAAAACGTAAAGAAAGAAAGAACATAAAAAAGAAAGAAAGAAAAGGAAAAGAATCGATGAAAAAAGGAAACAGAGAAAACGAAGAAGAAGAAAAAAAGAAAAGGGCTGAATGAAAGAGAGAGGAAAGCAAATAAAATCAAAACGGAAAGCGTCAAAGAAAGAAAAGAAAAAATAACCCAAGAAAAAGACAACAGAGAAAACGAAGAATTAATAATCAAGAGAGAAAAAATGAATGAAAGACTTAGGAATATCAAGAAAACCAAAACGGAAAGAAAGAAAGAAAGAAAGAAAGAAAGAAAGAAAGAAAGAAAGAAAGAAAATGAAACAAAACGAAGAAGGAATAAACAAAAGAAAGAATAAATGAAAAATAGAAGAAAACAAAGAAAATCATAACGGAAAGAAAGAAAGAAAGAAAGAAAGAAAGAAAGAAAGAAAAGAAGAAAGAATTCAAGAAAGAAAGAAAAATAAAACAGAAAACGAAGAAGGAATAAACCCAAAGAAAATCATGAAAGAAAGAAAGAAAGAAATGAAAAGTAAAAAAGAAACAAAGCCGACATGAAACACGATAATCTTTTGACAAACAAACTGACAATTCATCTTTTCTGCTTTCAATTCATTTTTCTGTTTCTCATTATCTTGAGGGAAGTCACATCCATTCTTATTGTATATTTTAGATGACGTCTATAAAATCGATTGGCATATCAGCAATGATCTTTGAAATTCATGCACTCGTTTTTACCTTTTTCAACCGGCGATTGATTACAATCAGGATATGGTTAACATTATTGTGCATCAACAGGGTGCCCAGTTTATACGCTTTTTCTTTTTTGAAGACATAATAATCATCTCCAACCGATCTGCCATATACCCTTATTCAGATGAATTCTATGCCAGATTAAATTTCTTGCTGTATGTCTTATTTTCATTCTAAAATAACCGCCTATTTTCATGGGGATTTTCCCAACGCACCGACCGATCCATTCTCCTACCTTTCCCAGATAAGTTCCATGAAATTATTCAAATTCTTGTTTTATCGTTTATCCTCGTTCTAACACACCCACCTATATTCATGGGTTCATTTTCAACGTTCTGACAATCCATTCTCCCATCGTCCGCAGAAGAAATCCATGCATGATTCAAATTGTTGTAGTATCTCTTATAATCATTAGAATACAAGCAACTACATTCATCCTCTCTGGTTTTAATTGAAGCGGTCACTATATTATGTACTTGTCATCATCTGCGTCACTATAAACTCATTCCGGAAAAAGGTCATGGTCTTTTCCGGCTTATTTTTTTCTCCTTGTATCTATACTTCCGCTAGTATTTTTTAATGGAGCATATAATTTACTAGCAGCATGGCCCGGCGTTGCCCGTGCTTGATGCAAAAATCGTACGGCTCATACAGCAATTGCTATCACTTGACTTAAAATATTTTTGCCCTTCCTTGCCTTTAAAGGAGTGCCCTTTGCCGTGCTGATGTTGCTACTTCTTGCCTATCTCACACTGCGAATTTTTTCTAAGCTCTATACTAAACATGAAATCTATTACGAAAAGAGAACTAAACAAAATGAACACAAAATGATCAGCTTTAAAAAAGGACTCGTAACTGGAAAAACCGAATGAAAAAAGAATGTTTAACAGCAAATACTTTTTCACACCAAATCCAGTTCTGCGAAATCAGAATCAACGTTGAGTTTAAGCAAGCGAATCAGTCAACTGGAATAAAGTGCCATACAGATTTAAATGTTTCCCACTTGTGACGAATACAGCTATCGATTTTTTTGCGTGCAAGCATGCTAGTTAATTCATAAACCAATGGCTTCTGTTACCAATTATACCAACGGCTTTCCATACTTCATACTTCTCGAATTCACTCTCGTGTGGTCATGTATGACGTCATGAGATGCGGTGAGATTTTCGCTTCTAGCCTCTTATATGCGTGTGTTTATCGTTGCTTAGAGATCATCTATGTAAACAATGACAGACCATCATCACTGTCGTGTCCGTATATTGCTTAATATGTTGTAATTGACATCTCTGATAATGGTTTAAGTAATGGATTAAAAAAAAATATGGATCAATATTATCAGACGTTACGAAAAAAATTTACATAAAATAAATAGAGAACACTTGTCTCTATTATTTAATGAAACGTGTATGAATGAAAAGATGCTGCCTAAATACATACAATATATATATATATATATATATATATATATATATATATATATATATATATAACGGAAATACACTTTTATTGCGCAGGAGGGTGTCGTCAGTGATGTAATTACTCAGGTCATTGGGTAGTTTCGGGCCTTGCAACATCATACCATCCTCGCTGAGTCGACCGCGTCAGAGCAGATCAGGCTCCGACGCACTCTCCTTCTGTACCACGCTATGCGACACGGATTTTTATAATTGTCTCAGCCGACTTGTACTCGATACTAGCAGGATATACATAGGAAAAGTCCATAGCGCTCCAGGTAAGTTGGGTTATTCAAAAAAAAAAAAAATTTTTGTTACGGAAGATATAATTTTGTTAATTTATATATATATATATATATATATATATATATATATATATATATATATATATATATATATATAAGCCATACGTCCGTGCACTGAATCTTGTCTGGGGTTTCAGGTGTATATATATATATTTTGACAAAATTTAGAGAAGGATCTGTAATGTAATCGATCCTTGCCTTTCTCATAAATGTAACGTGATTTCCATTTCACTTTTCTACAGAAATTTCCATAGTAACTCTTTTGATGAGCTTTTTACCTTGGTAAATCGACAGCATGGATTTAAGTGACATCGTCGATAGGCAACATGCCCTTATCGTTTCACTTTTGAACTAATTAGATGCAACCGTCAGTTCTATTCTAACAGTTTCTTTTATCGCACTTCGCACCTGTGGAAATCACATCCGATATCTTGTCTCCCTGACAATTACAATATTCAAACATTTAAATGGCACACCTCCCTGAATGAACCATGTTCACTTATTGTACCCTTGAATTAACTTGATGCAACCGTTAGATCTATTATAATTGTTTTTATCGCACTTCGCACCTGTGGAAATCACATCCGATATCTTGTCTCCCTGACAACTACAATCTTCAAACATTTAAATGGCACACCTCCCTGAATGAACCATGTTCACTTATTGTACCCTTGAACTGACTACATGCAACCGTCAGATTTATTATAATTGTTTTTATCGCACTTCGCACCTGTGGAAATCACATGCGATATCTTGCCTCCCTGACAACTTCTGATCTTCAAACATTTAAATGGCACACCTCCCTGAATGAACCATGTTCACTTATTGTACCCTTGAACTGACTACATGCAACCGTCAGATTTATTATAATTGTTTTTATCGCACTTCGCACCTGTGGAAATCACATCCGATATCTTGTCTCTCTACAATCTTCAAACATTTAAATGGCACACCTCCTGAATGAACCATGTTCACTTATTGTACCCTTGAACTAACTAGATGCAACCGTTAGATCTATTATAATTGTTTTTATCGCACTTCGCACCTGTGGAAATCACATCCGATATCTTGCCTCCTGACAACTACAATCTTCAAACATTTAAATGGCACACCTCCCTGAATGAACCATGTTCACTTATTGTACCCTTGAACTAACTAGATGCAACCGTCAGATTTATTATAATTGTTTTTATCGCACTTCGCACCTGTGGAAATCACATCCGATATCTTGCCTTCCTGACAACTACAATCTTCAAACATTTAAATGGCACATCTTCCTGAATGACCATGTTCAAATTGAACTAACTCTTCAGATCTATTATAATTGTTTTTATCGCAACCTGTGAAATCATCCGATATCTTGCCTTCCCACAACTGTCTTCAAACATTTAAATGGCACATCTTCCTGAATGAACCGCGTATTTTTTCGTATTATCGCCTTGCTTGGGGTGAAATTATTTAAGAAATATATGCTTAATAATGTTAATAACTATAAGATATCTATTATGTAAAATATAAACAAACTAATCGATACTAATACTGGGAGACGTAAAGATTCCACTTTTTGTCAAATCAATGTTGTTTATGATTCCTCTTGACATTTGGGAGTTTGCATCTTCAACACCAATAATCAAAAAACAATTAAATTTCTATGTTCGTCACACGACCACTACACTCTCTCGTAGTATAACATGCAACTTATAACAAAAATAGTGTAATTCCTCACAAAAAATCATCACATCACACGACACAACAATATGGTTATTAATATTAGACAGGTACGAGTAAATATGTTAGATATGCAAATCACAGTTTACACGACAAAATAGTATTGATTTCTTTGGCCTTATTAAAAAGTATTGACGCAACAGAATCTTCCTAGTCCCACTTCAATTTGGCCTTGAGCAATATTGAGACTCTTTTGCTGAATATGAATAGAAAGAGAGAAAGATGAAGTCAAATCAGATTATAACACATCAAGAAACCCTTGGAAATGGCATATCTCACTGAGTACAGAAAGTCAGTAGACTCTTTTGAGATATCGCATCATTCGACCAGCATTCGTTTGAAGGATTCACGAGTTGGCAGTCGTTTAGATAGACGTAAGATAATTGTAAGTAAAATGTTGCTTTGGGGAAATACTCGGGACAGTACCATATGGAAAAGACAAAACATTAAAAAAAATTGTTTCTTTTGTATAATTACTTTTCGGGGGGAAAAAGACGTTAGTTCAGAGGAAAAAGTGAAAATTATGTGCGCATGCGTCAAACATTTAAGACCTCCTTTAACAAAAGTCCATGGTTATACGAATAAGAAGAAAAAACAGATGTGTTGTTGCAAGCAAGAGAGGCTGCTCAATGTGTGAATTACATATCGAGAACGAAGTAAAAAACATAACTAAAGGAATAGCATTGGAACACACGACTAAAATACACTAAACTCTCTCGTAGTGTAATATGCAACTTATAAAAAAAAATAGTGTAATTGCTCACGATAATCACTACATCACACGAGACAACAATATGACTATTAATATTAGACAAGTACGAGTAAATATATTTGATATGCAAAATTACTGTTTACACGACAAAAATAGTATTAACAAACTCATACTATATATATATATTTCTATGCATATGAACAATATATGCCGTCATTTTCAGCTTATAATAACTTTCATCATCACATAAAATATGGATATTAACTCGGTTTTGGTTAAGTCAGGTTTAATTTTGTAAACAAAAAATGCAATATAAATATTTTTTATAAAAATTCAAAAGTTTGTAAGCAAAAAAAAATACATATATTTAATTAACACAATATCTTGTCTATCTGAATAAGCTATTGTTTTATTATTCTTCATGTTAAGATATTGGCTCCTTGATGTTCTATAAACTCCATCAGTCACTCACCCATTAATTCTGTTAACGGTGCTAAATTTCTAAGCATATATTTTTGCTTCCCGGAGATCTTTTTTCTTTAATATTGATTTTTTTTCTTTATTCTCATATCGATAAGTCTTAACTCTGAAATTTTGTAGCTTCAATCTAGTCTCATGTCTCGTTTGCTTCAACAATAGCAGCACATTGCAAATTCCCTGCTGTAAGATAGATAGATAGATAGATAGATAGATAGATAGATAGATAGATAGGAAGAGATTGAGATTGGAAGCTATGAACAAAGTGAGATAGATAGATAGATAGATAGATAGATAGATAGATAGATAGATAGATAGATAGATTGAAAATGTGTATAGAAATCTTAAAGCGCATACAAACAGCAAAAGACTTTTTCAGAAATTAAACAATTTTTTTTTAAGCGATTCACCCCAAGTAAGGCGGGAAGCCACTAGGACACAAGGGGTTACAGAAGATTTGGAGCAAGATCAGATAGGAGTGATAGAGGAAAAGATGAGGAGAAGGATAGTAGATAGATCAAAGCAACTGGAGATGTTGATTGACATTACATTTGAATAGTTGGAGATTATAGCTCTCAGGGAAACAGGAATAGGGAAGGGAGTTCCACTGGCGAGAGGTGCGAGATATGAAGCTATTGGAGTAGAAGAGACGGCTATATTTAACAGTTTCAACAGTGAAAGGGCGAGAGCGGAATGCCAGCCTCGTGGGACGCTTGAAAATGTATTACAGGTTATTTAAAGACAGATAATATTTTTCGTGGAATATAAGAATTTTGGGGGCGATAACTGAACTCACTCCAACGACGAGCAGAGATTCGGGGTGTCAGTGATGAGACCAAGAGATGGATAGTCTTGGGACGGACGGTGTGCGAAAATAGATCCTTGTGCAGATGAATATATTTAAAAAAAAACAACCGAGATATTGAGTTAGGCAACATCTCACTCAACCTAGTCGGAGTGTAAGGACGTCTTTATGTTGAAGGCTGTACGGGTGAGGGCGCATACCGCAGGCTACTTGGAAGTAACTAGCGAAATATTTCAATGAATAAAATGTTAAGTAGGCTAATAGGAATCTTAGCCGTTTCCTTATAAGGAAACATTCGACATTCACTGACCTAGCAGTCACGGCTACAATCGGTTCACATTCATAAAAATATTTCTATTAAAATAATTTTTCAGAAGAACAGGCTTCTAAAATCCACGAACTGTTATCGCTCTTTCCAGTTGTGATGTGAGGGGGTCCTTACAAACCGTTTGTTTGAAATTCTTCAAAATCATGATTATGTCATTATTTTCTCTTTCTGATAACGTTGCCTTTGTTCAAAATCGCCGTGAATTAGGAAGGCCGTATTTAGGGAGAGTATCGAAGAAACAGAAGACTATGTAAGGGAAAAAAGTTTATTACATACTTATACATAGAACGGGAAAACTTGATTAAATCAACTACTCCTCAAAACCTACTCTACTGTGGCTACTTGCCATATCTATAAGTAGGAACAGTCCATTGTGCTATAATCAAGAGACATGAGACATAAAAAATGATCGATATTTTAATGACCAAAGTTCAGAAAATATTACAATGCATCCAATATGCTAGTATTATGACTGTTTAAAACGAACAGTCTTGGAGAAGTTGCATCGTGGGGTATTTTTCTGAAAAGCTTTTAAATCAGTGCGATTTGTATGCCGGAAAATACAATAAATCTATAAATATTTTTATTTTCTTCCTTCAAGACGTATACGATCAAGACTCTCCACATCTTCCTTTTCATTGTTATTTTTTAATTGCTATGCCTTCTTGACAGTAGAGTGACTTAATGTTGCGTTCTTCACGTTTTGAAATCCAGAGGTTTTTTTCTCTTAGGCTGATTACAACACAAGTTTAGAAAGCCCAGTCTACCGCGCTAATTGGGAAGGGAGGAGAAGAGACGTATTCACACACTTCCCAAGCCAATTTGTTCTAAAGTGAATGCAACAGACTAGCCCAAAATTTCAACTTGGATCACCAGTTCTATTTTCCGCGCCAACAACCATTATACTACTAAACTTTACGCAATGTTTCCCTTTAAAAACAAAATAAAACACTAGCTTTGGATTTAGATTTAACAATGTAACGCCCACACTAATTTTGGTTAGCAAACGAACAAAGAACCATAGCTTCAAAAAGGTATTGACTCCAAATTTGATTTACATATTGTTGAGTCATAAAAAAAATAACGTCCTGGGTATGACGATAAACTACATCCGCGTCCTGGGTAAGACCATAAACTACGTCCAACAGCAAGGCCTCAGATAATGTTTTCGGAAAAATAATGTTGCCAGCTATACGGTTTTTGAAAAAATAATGTTGCCAGCTATACATTTCTGAAAAATAACGTTGCCAGCTATATGTTTAATAGTACTATATATTTAATATATATATATATATATATATATATATATATATATATATATATATATATATATATATATATAAAAAAAACTTAATTTGGCATTAAATGACCTACAGTGGTTGATATGCCATAAAACCCAACCAACCATTTTTTTGTGTGGGGGGTATCAAATATATATTTTTAAAAGCAAATGGCAGTTTTATTTTATTTAATATTCAGCATTATTTGCGATGACTTCTTCCCACTTATCTGGCAGCGGCTGCCGTTAAACCCAATTTAAACTGACCTTGTGCCACATTCGTTAGCGGAATTGGCGCACTTATAAGACAGCGCTTCGAGTAAAATTCCATCAGATTTTGAACTTAAAAGCTTTTCGATGAACTCTTGATTTTGGTTTTCGTTGGTGAAAGTTAGCAAAACTTTTCAGAAAATTTGAAATTAGCGGTTGGTGCAAGGTCAGGTAAATATGGCAAAAGTTAGGCTAGAAGAGACTAAAAGTGCAAAATTTTTCTCTCTTATACACACTGTGTATTGTATTACGTTGTCGCGGAGGACAGTAACAGTTTTCATTTAACCCACTGTGTATGTTGCCATTAGTGTGAAAAAAACCCAAAAATACAAACAAAAAAAAAGTAGTATTCACGAATCCCGTAACCCCTTGGGCCAGTAGGGGCATGACATCTATATCACCAATAACAGTAGCGCTGTTTCCTGAGCAAGACAGCCTGACGAACGTCTAACCCTATCCAGGGTGATTTGAACTCAGAATTTTCCTTCTTTCAGACTGGTTGCCAACCATGGGTATAGAGCCAAAATTGCCTTGCTATTTTACCCATAGCTGGGGAGTAGGGAAGAGAAAGAAATTAATTCATACCTTTCCAAAGGGTATTACCAATTAGTGATCTCGATTGGAGTTCAGTACTGAATTAGAACTCGACTCTCCGATACCTCATTCAGACTCGCTATCTATTACATCCCCGTACCTCTAAAGTCGGTTAGTTTACTCCAAATTTATTTCTTACTGTCCCGTATTCGTAGTTAGTCGGTTCGTCATTCTAACTGACTCCCAAAATAAAAATGAACTATCCCTCAACATAATATTTACTGAAGCTGTTGGATAACGAATTTATGAAACAAAATATAAAAAAGCAGCGGTTACGACTCCATTGACTTTTCTAACGTTCGTTGCTTCCATACAGATTGATCGCAAACAAGATTTGCTAATAAAACAATAGTTTTTTTTCTTTAATTTCTTTCAATACATTGGTCAAAATGAGAAGCTATCGATTAGTTACCGATTGATTGACCAATCACCGCAGACCGTCTGCACTTGTACTGTGTACACACCCTTTTTAATATTGGTCCAATGTCGATTTTAGAATCAGAATCGTGGCAATAATTCTGTTTGTTTGCAGACATGTTAATTGCTAGCCAACTTGAATACCCGTGATTGATCCAGAAGGTGACATGTATACTTTGCTAACTGGATAATGCCAATTGCCTGTATAACAGCAAATTGGAAATTAGTTTTATACGTCCGACTCAGTGATTGCCATTGTCTTTTCCAGATTCAGTGGTGATATATTTTTTCCTGACTACTCTTTCTGTTGTCCCGTGCCAGTTTTGCCAAGCGTGGCAAATGCTATTAGGCTTCTGTTCCTTCAGAAACAGTTGTATTCATTCCTGATCACTAAAAACACAATATCCAATGCAATACTGTAGTTAAATTATTTACAATATGTTGCTGTAGTAAAATTATTTGCCAGGCATTTACATAAAAATGCGTGCCCTGGAGAGACACGGTTTAGTAATGGAAAGCAGTAATGTAGGGCCGAGTTCGAATGCCAGTCGAATCCATTACATTCATTGGCACGGTGCAGTAATGGATAGTGGCTCGGATTAAGAAATCGATGAATCGAATCCATTACATTCACTTCCGTCTAATAGACTTGGGAAAGGTATGAATCCTCTTCTTCTCTCCCTAGCTATGGATAAATAACAGGACAGGCTGAGTTGCTTTAGATGGCAACTGGTCTACCGCAGAAAGAAATGGCAAGCTACTGCGTGAAAAAAATCTGCCTCGTCAGTCATGTACCGAAAAGATACATGATCGCCTAAGCGTGCATCATATCTGACCGACTGACATGCTACCATTGGGAAAGGTATAAATCCTCTTTTTCTCCCCCAACTATAGATAAATAGCTGGACGGACTGAGTTCTATAGCCTTGGTTGGCAACCGGTCTAGAAGAAGGAAACTCTGAAATCAAAAACCAGCATGGTTATCTTGCCCAATAAACGACACTTCTACAGCGGTTCCCCTACGACCCTGATGATTCACATAATCCGCTTGACCTGGATATGGAGATATACTACATCCGAAGCAAGACCTCTGATCAGAATTTTTTGAGGAACGTGGAACCATCTCTCAATTGCTTTTCTCCCACGTCCACCGTAGCACTGGATGGTAGCACCTGATAGGGTCCCACCTATGGACAAACAGTGAACCCTGAAATTGGTGTCAAAAAACTGAAATATATAAAAATGTATTTTATATTAAGAAAATTACCAGCAATAGATTGAATAAAAAATAACAGCAACATTGGCTTTAAAAAAATTATTCAAGCTCCGAAGAAAATTAAATTTCGGCATTAAATGACCCATAAGGAGTTGATATGCCGTTAAACAAACAAACAAACAAATATGATAATTGTCACAAATATGTTTGTCTTCCTAATTTTCATTTCGTTTCCTAAATCATTTTTCCTAAACCAAGGCGGTTTCTTCCTTCTGGACCACCCAAAATCTTCACAAACGTCTATTGCCATCTTCTGTCATTCTAAAACTTCTACTTTTTCGTTGTGTCAACGAATAATCGTTGTCACTTTCGTGATGCTCGTTGTAGTAGAGACTTTTTAATCGCAGATACGATAGTAACACCGTTGAACAATACTGGTATCAGAT